GTGAAAAAGGATAACAAATTTTCATCATTATTTTGTTATTTTGTTAATGGTGTGGTATCCAACGCAATCTTCACATCCTGTTCTTTTTGAGAGTCATTACAATGGGTATTTTACAAGGTTAACTTTTGGGTTGGATCACTCTATTTTTAAGCAAATATTTTTGACCAAGTTTTAAATATTATCTTTTTTATAGCCAAATGTTAGTACATCGAGAGATATGCTAATGATATATTTGACATGAGCTAGATGTCATGTTCGATGAACTACTTTGGTGGTAGGTCTTAGTGAAGCAAACTCGTCAATTAGCTTCTACTTTTATGTATCATTATGCTTTTAACCACAACAAAGAAAACAAGGCTTTTTTTCCATCCATTGGACAAACAAGTAAAAACATTAGTGATATAGATGGGGAAGACAGAAAGTAAAATTTTTGACACAAAAAATTCGACTGTACAAGGAATAGTTCATGCACAGCCTACTGGTAAAAAATTAGGCATAATTGAAGCTGCTTGACTAAGCAAGCAAAGAATATAGAAAAATACGGCTTCCACTCAATCCTGAGATGAGATCAAGAGTTTGATTAATTAAATCAACGATAATTATATCTGGGTTGCATATTGTGGAGAATTCGAATGGATTAAGATTATTGAAAATTTGATGATCGGATCTGTTAATGAAGACTTTCATTGGTAGCAACTCACAGATCCTATTATTGAGATTGAATATCAAGCTGTCAGGACTTCATGGGTGAATGCCAGGATAACGTAGTTCCTAACTCATAGCAAGGAACTGTTGGCCAACGTTGATGATTTTTCTTGCTTGGTATTGTAATCGTGTTTATAATGGATATGCTGTAATCCTTCATAAATAGGAAGGTCCTTCCTTCTTCGGTGAATTGGCACTGGTAAGATTTCTAGTGTAGATAACTTACATGTGTTAATATTGCTTGCCAAAGATGGCCTAGTATATACCTAGGTGAACTTCCTTACATGTTTTGCTGTACTTGTCCTTTGTGGTTATGAATTTGAATTTACACTATCAATTTTCTTTCATCCTTGATCCTATTTTGGATCCGGCCCTAAGAATAAGGCTTGGATGGGTTTTGGTATTTCACTCTAATTCGTGCATTGGATTATCATAAATGTTATTTTTCTGTCACTATTGATGATGATGCTGGTCCCTTCTCATATGATTTATATTTTTAGAGTAATAGCTCATGTGTGCCTCATTGGAGGACTACCTTATGCTTTGTTCTTTGGCATTATCATTTAGAGAGAGATGGGACTGTCTTGTGCATGGTATTTAGCATGTTGTTATGCACTATTGCACCATTTGTTTCTTTTCCATCCTTCCAGTTTTAAAATGGAAGAGTTCAGGGCACAACTTCAATATTTTTTTCTCTGTGTGGCCAGATATCTGACAATGCTCATAAAACTTACTAGAGGCATTGTTTTTACGAGAAGGGTTAGTTTTTGTATATCTCTTTATTTTTGTAGACATAGGCTCTTTTTGATGATATTGTGTTTTCTATTTTTTTTTTTAGTTCTTTCATTTTATAGTAATTGGTATTATATTGGCTTGGCTAAGATTTGAAATCAAATATGGTAGATTTAAGGGTAAATCAAATTCTTTTTGTAGTCATTGATAGTTTTTGGCATTTTCTTAGATTGGCATTTGTTCACTAACATTTCATATGGGCAATGGATAAAGCTGATGTTTAATCAATAGCTTAAATTATTCCTAAGCGAGCATTCAACCATACAAAAGCTTGGCATATAATTTTCAATAGGGCAAAGCCACCTATCATTTGTGCCGTTATTGTATAAAATAAAATAAATCTCTAGCTGGTTAATCAATGCATCTAATATTTAGTCGTTGATTGCTTGATCATAACTTGGGATTTTTATCTTGAGAGGCCTTGCTTTCTACTTATTTGATTAGCGACAATCACATTTTGATTAGCAACAGTTAACTGGGGGGCTTTAGTTCTTGTAGCCATTTGAGGAGGACAGGACTTGGGATGCTAGAGTTTTGTGCAAAAACATAATTTGTTAGTCAATAAAATTTGACTTGGGTAACTCTATCTTAGTAGTCATTTGCTCATACAATACATTCCCTTATTTCATTTTTTAAATATTTCTGTCTCGTGCTTTCACTTGTTTTGTGGCTCTTTAAGAGTGTCTAAGGAAAGAAATTATTCTCCAATGCCTAGGTAACCCTTTTTTATTTGTACAATGCGCCAAGGAATGACACTGAAATATCAACTTGATTTGTGCTATCTTCCCAATGTTATGACGTAAGATACATTGAGAAATAGAATAAATAGGACAATGTTATAGGAATTTTTGGGAAGAATGCCGATGATCTATGAATCAAAATATGAGCACCTCATTGTAAATTTTATTGTTGTAAAAGGTTTCCCTTTAGGGTTGTGATTATTTGATAAATACAATAAGTTCCCCTCCATTCATAGATTATTTTCTTTTTGGACATCTTGCAAATTGTTGATTTCTTCTCAGGTTTTGTAGACTGCTAATAAATTCCTTCCTTTCTTTGCAGGTTTATGATAGTGGTCATTAGTTCAATGGTTTTGACATCTTCAGCAGTATGTTGCCATAATAGCAACAAAAATTTTTTAGCTTCCATAAGAGGCAGTGGAGCTAGTGTCCTAGTATTTCATATAGATGATGATTTCGATGGTTTGAGGAGGCTAACGATAGTATGAAGAGGAGAAGAGAGGAGAGGAGAAGGTAGGGAGGGTCTAGGAGAATTCATATTGATTTTTATTTAAGGAATCCAAACTTTCATAGACATTTACAATGGAATTTTTATTTTATCTTCTAGTTTATTTAATCCTAAAATATTCATACATCCAGCAGAAGTCTATACTTTCTAAACTAACCCCCCAAAACAAATAAACCTTATTTAGAACAATTTAAATTAATTACTTTCTACAATTGATCAATCAGGTGCCAATTCCTACATTCCCCTTGTGTATATCAAAATATCTCAATGACAAGTTAAGCTAGGGTCATGCCAGCTCAAGGCAAATCTATAGAATTAGAGAGATAAAATGACCTCATCAGGGCTTACTCGCCCATTTACAAGACCTTCTCATCTATTCAGGGAGCCTATTTGCCCATGCTCAGGCTCAAAGGACTACTAGCCTAAGTTATGGAGCTACTTGTTGATGTTGGCAACACTTCTGTGTACAGCGTCATTTGATTGATGCCTGAAGCTAAATATTAATCTCGGAATTTTTTCTCTAAGAACTTATATCTTCTTTCTTCTGCTTAGATCCACTCTATGTTCATTGTTCTATTAAACCTTAAGGTATTTATTGTAAAGGTTATGTCATCATCTGCAGATATATTACAAATTTGGATCTAACATCTTGATTTCCATTCAATTGTCCATATATCTTGTATTCTCATTCTTATCATCAAGTGTCTAATCGACAATCCATTTCCATCTATAAACCCATGATGACTTGATTTTCAGCCTCAAGAGCAGGGTTTGGGAATTACCACCAATAATAGTCTTCATTCGCTGATTAATCTGTGGAGATTTTAACGATTCCAGTTCCTTTGATCTATGCATTTCTACTGCCCAAATAATAATGCTGGGAAATCTGATTAATTATCCCCTTGATTTTATTTCCATATCAATTAGAGGCTCTGTTTTTTTTTTCCAAAATTTACATTTTTAGTAGTATCAATTATGTCTACTTTTTGGATCAGTGGGCTGCACACTATCTTTATATAGCTGTTATTTTTTCTTTTTAGCATAAATTTTCTATTCCCAACCAGAAATGTCAGCTCTATAACACTACTGCTAATGGCAGCCTCAACACCCTTAGTCCCTCTCCATCCTTCGATCTCCTCAAACAATCTTCCTCCCGTCAACCATATATTGATCTCCACCTTTATCCTCCATCACAGTGCTGATTAGACTGCTTCGGGTGCTTCATCTGTGCACTTGCCCCTCTCATTCCTCCGCAGATGCCATTGTATCTCAGCCTAGAATTGATGGTTATATCGAGTGTTATTTTTGTTGCTTGCTGCACTTATTATAGTAGAATTGCTTGCTTCTGCCTTCTGAAGAGGATGGATTGCTTCTCTTCAGTGGGGAACCCTTTGTTCTCTTCAGCATAGAGCCCATCGGTATTCTTCCGCAAGGAACCCATCAGTACTCTTCACCAATTTTTTTATTTGTTTTTCAAACCATTTCCCCATTTGTATTTTTCCACCTGTCTTTGCTTGAATTTGAGGCTGTTTAGGAATGTTGATAAACAGTTTGAGGCTCGGTATTTTTTGGAGGAAGAGATGTGGATGGGTTATGATGCGATGGTGTTGAGATTGATAGGGATATGTTGGTATGATGACAATTATATGGGACTAATGGTGCTTAGAAACTTGGAAGATGACTGTTAAGGGTAGGAGAGAGAGTTTTGGGGGAGCAAAAATAAGATGCGTCTGTAAGGGATTTACATATTGGTCATAAGGTGTACACCCCTACTTTGGGGATGATAAGGGCTTTATGCTTTAAAATAAAGTTATACGAGCCAAGCTATTTTTTCAACAAATTTGAAAACAACAATAGCTTGAATATATGAGAAACCTAAGTGAGCGAAGTAACTTGGATTTCATATCATTCAAGTCCAGCATATTTGGATACTTAATGCTTAATCAATAGACAAATAATTGTTCAAAACAATCTTCAATTAGATGCTAGTCTTGTTTCTCTGTCTCTCTCTTTTTTCGGAGGTAATGCTATATTTTGTTTTGCTGTAAAGGGGCTGTTTGGTAGAGCCAAAAGTCTAAATTCGCTTACACAAATCCAACTCCCCTTAAACTTGATTTTGGCTTTGTTTCAGTCTAAATCCCGGATTTACTAAATCTGGGATTTTGATGGATTTATTAAATCTTGATTTACCAGATTTACTAATTGCAGCCAAACAGCCCTGATGAATGAGTTTTTAACAAACTTTTTGTATGCAGATTGGGCCTTTCCAAGCTTCTCAAAGTGATAAAACCAAATTGAAAGTCAAGCTTAGGCTAAATCTGCATGGAATTGTTTTTGTAGAATCAGCAACAGTAAGTAACTTTAATTTGCATGATGTTTTATTTTCTTATAAACATTACTTCTACATCAAATTGAAAATTCTGAATGCTGCAATTCAGTTGATTGACGATGAGATGACTCTTCCGAGGGGCACAAGCCAGACAGATTTGGATAATTCAGAACCTGAAACAACTACAGGAGTTTCTACTGAGAATGGAGCGGTTGCAACGTCTAATCACGTTAGTCATTCATGTTTTCAGTAATTTTCTTTGTTAATACCCTGTAACTACATGTTGAGGGGATCACTTTCTTACCGTCGCAATGTCTTTTTAATTTTTAGACAGGTTACAATTTTAGGTGCAAAAACATTAAAAAACCATAAGAGAATAATGGTTAACTTTTTCAATAGTTCTATAAATTTTTGTTTAATTACCCTATTTTGCTTATCTAGCTTAAATTGCGCTCCCGTAATCATTCATTTTTAATACTGACTTGAGGCTGATTGGTCACGACTCTTCATCTCCAGTAAGAAGTCATGGGTATGAAACCTCCCAAAAAAATATAAACATTTATTTTAATATTCTTAATTTATTGAAATTATTGAAATCTTACTAATGAAAATGGATTAAATTATTTTTAAGATACCTCAATAATCTATTGAACTTAATGTAAGCCTTTTTTTTTTTTTTTTGTGCAATTTCATGATTCTGGTGGGTGTGGCTGTGGGTTAATAGGGAATTTGCTAAAGTATTTAGTGGTTGTGGAGATTTTCTATTACTTTAAATATTGCAGTTAGTTTACAAATCCGGCCATCACAACATTTGAAATGACAACAATCTAATGAATTTCATCTTAGTTTTGCCCAAGACCGGCATGTTTGCTTAAATGATACTGCAGTGGATAAATAAAATGTTAAAAATGCATATGATATTATAGTATAGCAATTTCACTTGATTAATGCAGAAATATATTCAAGTTGTTTGACAGACTCACAGAGCATGCTGTTATATATGCCAATTTTGAAATAACGGTCATTTGAATATGCGCCATAAGCATCTGAATATCTCGTGCATTCATGTGCGCAATCGCATTTAGATTTATGAATGCATAATGTTCAAGCAATTATTGATTTTTCTCTCACATTTGAGTATAAAAATAATAGGGGTCATGTGCCTACTATTGGGGGTATTCCAAATTTGTGCCTGTTTTTTTAGATTTGAAGCTTTTTATTCTTTTTTTATGTCAATATTATTAACATCTGATTTGGTTAAGGCATGATAATGGAAAAATAGGATGTATTGTTGCATGGCACAGATGAGCGCCCTTTATGATGGATGGTTTTTTTCTGGGTGGCTGTGGATATTCTTGCTATATCATTGAGATGCATGGAAATGATCTTATGAACGTTATTTCTTATAAAATGTGGATGCATGAATGCACTCCATAGTTCTTGTTCTGAAGCTGATATGTTTTTCTTTGTTGTGATTACGTGTTCCAAGGACAACAGGTAATGGATTATCTCCTCTTTGCAATTTTTTTATTTTATTTGTCTTTTCCTAAGGCAATATTAAGATCAGAGGCCTAGAAATTGAAATGATAGAATGACGATCAAATATGTGATTACTAATTTTAAAATATTGATGTAAAAAATGTTACTGCCTGCGGATGATCAAATCTCATCATGAAGTTAATGGATGGTTCTGAATGAGGATGTTCATCGAGAAAGAGGAGTTTTTGGGTTGAGCTAATTCCTATTAGGGAGAGTGTGGTAATTGGAGAGAGAGAGAAATATAACAAGTAAATAAAGGATTTTAAGTGATTTTTTAAAACCAAAAATTGACTATGCATTGAAAGTGATTTCAATTAATGGTAATTAAGTACTAGATGAATGCTTGCTTCTCTTAAAATGGAGAAAGAAGAGAAGAGAGAGAGAGAAGAGAGAGACTGATAGGATGGATTGTTGGTAAATCTCCTGAATTATGTGGGCCCCGCTCGACTTAATAGGAAATTACTAGCACATAGATTAATGACATCTACCTACAAATTAATCTTATAATAGTATTTAGATTGCAATCCATATATTTTTGCTTTATTGGTCCCTCTCTAATATTTTCTTTATAAAAGTCTTGTAGAAGGTTTATAAATACTTTTTTTCTTTGTACAAGGAATTAGTTCAGTTTTATGGGTCCCGACACTTATAACTTTTTCCTTCGATAAAATGAATTCTCCTACTATTGTCATAGGTTTTTTTGTCTTTGCTTTTTCACATAATTTCATTGTTTATTGCACTAATTTTATAACATGATGTATAATAGCGTCTTTTTTTATTTCAATGATGACAACAATGATGTATGAAATTTTTTTTGGATTGCAACTCCATATATTCACTTTGTTAGGTTAAAATGCGGGTTATTTTCACGCAATTGCATTTTTACATAATATGACTAGGATTTGTTGAAATTGCCTAATTGTGGATGTCAAATAAGCAATGGAAGGATAGAAAGGTTTTATCTCAAACTATCAAATCAAAATTTACAGGATGTCTTAAAGGAGAAGACAACGAGTGCATTATGGTTGAAATTGGAATATACTTATACATGACGAAAAGTCTTACCAATAAATTGCATTTTGAAACAATATTTGTACTCCCACTTGGTGGTTGTTTACTGTTAAGTACCTCACTACCTTTAAAGGGAGGTCTCAAAAATGGACACATGCAATATTTAGAGATATTATCTTATATGATTGAGGGCACTTATTTTTGATAAAATTTATGATACTCTATTTTCTAAAGAGAAATTTAAGCAAATGTGGATAAATCAAATACCTAGACCGCAGATGTGGATAAATTTATGATACCTAAACTGCCTTTGTCCTCGTTGTCCCTGCACAAGATAGCACTTTTCTTACTATCCTGCAGTCCATAAACCTTTCTCTTGCTGCCCCTAGCAGTCCCAACCCTCCACCTCGTTGTCGCTACTGTTCTAGGCCTTCTGCCTCGCTTCCATTACAGTTCCAACCCCTCCTTTGCTGTTTTCAGCAAACCCCAATTGCCCATTCCAGCCACCTATTACCACTCCCCAACCAACTAGTCGTACTAGCATTCACATGTAGAGAAGACGGGGGTCCGCGTGCGTAGGGCTTTATCAAAGGTATGTATGTATTTAATAAGAATTTTGGACTTCTAATTTTAGTATATGTATATATGTGTGTGTGTGTCTATATATATATATTATGAAAAGCCCAAGGGCTGATTTTATTGAAATAGAAAATGATACATAAAATTTGTATGAGAAGAACCCAAAAAAGGCACCAAACCATACGATACAAGTACAATAATACCCAACAAAAGGATACAGATTGACTCAATAAAATATAAAACAAATTTAAAACATGTAGAAAATAAGTAGCTAGGGATGAGCCAGTTTAGTCCTGCCTCTTCTTCTAGTTTTAAGAGCGGAACCAGATAACAAACTTTGAAGAGATGTGCCATTGTCAGGAGTCACCAAAGTATCATCCATTGTTTCCAAGTTAGAGTGAGCCCCCAGCCCCAGCTTTCTTCTTCCGCCGAGAAGTGTGAATTGTTACCTTTGCACCTGATGTTTCTTGAATAGGAGCTATGAGACTATCCTGATTTTCGGTTCGAGCATTATCCATTGTAGTATGGTCAGGAAAAGGGATCTCAGGGGCAGACACCAACTCATGTCTTGTGGTGATCCCCTCCTTAGGTTGGCTGTCAGGTTTGTTGGGAGCGTGTTCAGGCACATGAGGTGGACTAATAGTGTGTTCCTGCTTTTGACTATTGGCTCTCAACTGTGGGTGCAATCTGAAACATTTCTCCTGTGGGCGTCCAAACATCTTGCAGTACTTTCAATAGTATGATTTTTGTTCCATAATGATTTTTTGCCAATAATCATTGTGAGCAGATCCAAGTCAGACTTCCAAGTCAGACTTCATCCAAGTCAGACTTCTTCTACATCTGGTAATGTAATATCTCGTTCAATCAATATCCTTACAATAGAGGGCTTTGAGAAATAAATTGTAGGAAAATCTACCTGCAAAGGTTTTTCAAGGATAGTCCCAATTACATATAAGATAGTTAGGTCAAATAAATGAAGCTTGAGTTCAGGTAATGAGAACCAGATAAGTGCAATTGAGGGTTCTTGACTGGGATCAAAATTGGGGGTCCATTTGAGCAATTTCATATGTTTGCCCTCAATTGTGATGAATTTCTTTGAGAAAATTCTCGTGTAATCATCTTCTGTGCTCAGCTGTATCATAACATGCTTTCCATCGAAATGACCCACATGCCAATCCCCAACAAGTTTGAAATCTTAAAAAACCTTCATGATGATCTCCACCTTAGGGCAATCTAATTGGAACTTTCCAACTAGTGTAAATTTATATTTTCCTGCGCGAGTTGAAATTTCAGCTTAAGAAAAAAAATTGCTGGTTTGCCCGCCTTTTTCTCTACTTTTCTTATGAGGTTGCAATCGTCATTTCCTGCAACAGAATCATGGTAAATCTGCGGGAGTACCACACTATCTGCGAGGTGAAAATGAGAGTTGCGTTTGGAAAATGAGAGTTGCTAGAAGGGTTTGGCGGAGCAGAGAAGGGTGGGGGGGGTTTATCGCCGGCGAGAGTGGCGGCGTAGGAAAGCCCTGAGGCCATTACCGCAGCCAGTGCCAACCTGCAGCACAGTGAGAAGTTGCACGAGTGGCGAAAGGCTCTGTCGCAGGCGACAGAGGCAGAGCTGAGCAGACCGGGTGGTTCTGCGCAGAGGAGACGCAGCAGGATGTCGAGCGGTCGAGCGGCTCTGTGGCAGACGAGACGCAACAAGGTCGTGTAGCTTTGTCAGCAGACGAGACGCAGGCTCGAGCAGCTCTGTCGCAGACACAGGCACGACCGGAGCAGGAGCACTCGCCATACGAGACGCGAGGAAGCAGACGATGCAAGAAGAAGCAGACGACGCGAGAGGAAGCCCGAAGCCAAATGACACTAGGGTTCGCCATGTGTGTGTGTGTGTGTGTGTGTATATATATATATATATATATATATATTATAAATATGTATATATGTGTGTGTGTGTAACTTGAATTTACATAAAATGAAGTAATAAAATGTAATATTTAAATAATGAAAAGCTAATTGCTAGACTTCTAACTTTAGGGGAGTCGACGTCAGGTCAAATTAATCGACATTGAGGTTGGTTCTTGTATTTTTAAGATATAATAATATT